ATTAATTTTCATTTTATTGTTGTTATTATTATTATCATTCACAACTCCACAACGACACTGGAATACCATACCTAACCACATGGATAAATGAACAATTTAAAAAATCATCATCGTCATCTTCATCATCGGTATCATCAGATTAATGACCTAATTAAAACAACTCATAACTTATGTACAATTTGCTAAAAAAATTATTATCATTAAACATAGCGATTTTTTTAAATATATTCAATACATATTGCAGCCTGAAAAGGATTGATTAAGCATTACCTAAATCAATTGTCTTGTTAAGTTACATTTTTTTTTTTTCAAGATAACCATTCTATTAAGTTTTGGACAATTACTTTTTAAGTTATCAAATCTTTGTGGGACACCCTGTATGTGAGGCATTGACTTAATACTTGCCGTGAATGCCTGTGGCCACGGCCGTCAAACGGTCCTGAGAGACCTTAACGAGTATAGTGCAACGGTAATTAGATTGCGTATGTAAAGTAAAGCGATACATATAATTATATAATTTCGTTGCATATTATGTTCACTGCAGCTGTTGGTGTGCCAGCGAACGAGCTAAGTACACAGAGAGTGTAAGACGCATCATATGCGGAAAATAGGTAACAAGACAAGTGCTGATGAGTTAATGCGATTTAACGAATACCTTAGGTTCACCTTACATTATACAGGGTATAACAATATCCCAGATGTTATTAGACTTTTTTAAATGATAACCCAAATTCGATAAGTACCTCAACAACATACCTAACGCCATCCCCTAGATGTTAAAGTCGTATGAACAGCTTGAGCGGATCCGTAGTGTGCTTGTTCATAATAATATAACGAACACGGTTAAGAGTCACGCTTTACTCGATTCCATAGTGGCTAGTAGTTGATCACAAAGATTAAGTTATTTAACCCTTTTATCTTTAAATTATACTAATTATTCAAACGGAGTGGTTTGCACTTTTTTTTTTATCATCTACATTTAATTAAAAATACAATTAAAGGTATAACGCGAATGCCATTTTTAACCTCTCCTCCGTCTCGCTTCTCGGTTTCACAACCAGGGTGAGTATTGTGCAACACCAAAAATAAAAAAAAGTTAGGTGTAAAATAGCAACATTACCGAAGAAGTCACGACGTTAGGTCAGGTAAAATAAACAGGTAATGACCGATAAGTAACAGGCATTAGGTGCTATGCTATTGCAAATAACTTAGTACCCGGCTGTCTGGTACTTTGTATCTGCTGTACGACAATCGGTAGTCCAATGTGATCGTTTATTGTGTTGTTCAAACGTAACAATTTAAACGTCGTTACGATGATTGTTTAAAAACAAAATGTATTTTTTATTTTTTAAACCACTTTCTAACTAATAAACCCACGTCGTTATCCGAACGCATTGACGCGACACGTTTAGATGGTTATATTTTCCATAGAGTCATCAACCTAACCCACACACTGATGATGCCATAGTTTTTTGTTCATCCGCCTTAAACACCATACATATTTTGGGTAATAGGTCGGTCGGCAAACATTGTTAATAAATAATGCTCACTCAAAAGTGTCGCTCTCTACAAAAGGAACACGACTTGATATATTGTGTCATAAACGGGATACAGGCGAAGGAGAAGAAGAAGAATATTGAAAATGTGTTACCCGTTGACACTGACATTTACCAAGCTGGAAATTTACTTACATACATTGGTCAAAGTGCAATTGTATTTGTTTATTCTTACACATAAAACGCCCTCAAGTCACTAAGGTTTTTAATTTTGAAATATTGTGATTGGAAAAAATAAAATTCAGAGTAATAATCATTACAAATGCTTAGGCAGACCGTGTAATGGACTAATTGATGTTTTTTTTTTTTTTTTTAATTGACAGTCCAACAAAGTGCCTTTTGGGTACGATTTCTGATCTATACACGAAGAAATCGGTTTGGCAGTTTAGATACCAAAATAAAAACACACCATTGTAGTTATTAAACACCATCTCAGCTAAACAAGAGCACAGTTATTAGCGACAAGTCGCACACTCAAAAGCGGTTTCATTAACGGTTATTAGGTTTACAATAGCGCTTCGAGTGCCGTTTGAACTATATTAATATATTTTACAGCCGTCATACACGTGCGTGTAATAATATCATTCATATGGAATCGAAATCCGTTTGCGGTGACCTCGGGCAACCGCGATGGACCCAATAAACTAGATCGTATGTGTCGGCCCAGTCTGTCAGTAATGATAATGATAACGATATCTAATGATTATCGGCGGCGCGTTGAAGGTTTCAAACGATTTAACAACAAATAATAACAGTGCCGGTACGCTGTGGAAAGCTCTGAAACCTAATTTTAACAATCGATCAATACCGTGGATCAGTCTATGAGTATATCGCAGCTATTAATAGCGCACGGTAATGATACCTGTTGATTTCTTTTTTTAAATTATATATCTCAGACACGTCATCCTTGATTAGGTTAACGACTCGAGCGAATTTTTATTTTTTTTTAAATTATTTAAATTTTACATTTTACCACCGTGAATACTTTGTAATATCAACCAACCCGTTAAACTCTGACTTTTAGGTAAAAAAAAAAAAAACAATAATCATCTTATCCCATAGGATAAAATGACGGGACAAATTATTTTCATACAACATCCAAAAAAAATATACTTGAATTGAAAAAAGTGATAAAGTCGAACATTATTAAATAATTTGTGAATAAAAAACAAATCGTTATATTATTTCGTAGCAGTTATTTATTTTTATTATTTATCTACTCGACGAATCAAATAGACGAGCCTATGTTGACATTAGAAGGTATAATTTGAATTTAATATTAGTATCGGTATTGAAATACATTGGTCTTAAATTAATTAAAATGTACTAATTTTACCTTAAATAAGGCAGCAAATATGTTTAGAGCCTCTTAGAGGTTTGATTTTCTTTTTATATAAACCTAACTAACAAAATTCGGGATATTTAAAGTCCTAAAACATACACATTACATACTTGGATAGAATTTCAAGTTATGAATGGGGGAAAAACCAAAAAGTTGTATTATTTTCAATATTCATTTTATTCGTGTTTTTTTTAAATAAAATTTTGTTAGTTGAACTCAAATTATTCGCAGTTTAAATTAAATTCGTTGATAAATTATTCAAAATTTTAATAATCGCATACCTCTAATTTTTTTCAACGTGACTATTTTAAAAATTGATATTAAATAAAATACACATGTAGGAAAATATTTCAGATATGATCAGATAACTGACTTATGTTTGTTTAATTATTTCAGCATAACTACAATGCCGTTAAAAAATATATTTTAATAAAATAAAAATACAATGTTGAGCTGATACAAATACCAACTGAGCACCGCTTGTATTCGGGAGTTCTTCTTGTAACAAATAAAATATTAAACATTTTTATAAACACAACAATAATAATGTCGTATCCTTTGGACAATTGAATGATATTAAAAACATCCGGCAGACTTGATTTTTGTTCTTCCATCCGACTGAAAATTAACATTAGTTATTGTTTTTTAAAAGTATAAACACAACCAAGTGTTTCGAGTGGATTTTAATTTGGAACGGTTCGCGGTCGATTAAACACTGATGGATATTCGCATAGACGAGCTAGGTCCGTATGATCAATCACTGTATACATTTTTTTTTATTCGCTTACCATTGTGGACGGGAAAATCGCCGGAATCCTATGGTTTATTTACGACGACAGTCGTTCACGATAAAATGTATAATTGCAATCGAGCGACTATTATTTTAATGGAGAGGCAGCAAAAAATAAACAAAATAACGATTTATGCGGATAATGAACGATGGATGACTGTTCAATATTGTTTTAATATCGTAAAATTAAATTGTTTCTATATATATATATATATATATATATATGCGGTGTAGTGCCCGGTCGTTTAAACTTGCAGCAGTTCACACAAATGCACACAGGTGTAACCTGTTTTAAGCTTCCAAATTCATATAGGAAAAAGTTGTACTTTTAATAGTTTTGTTCTCATAAAACCTTTTAAAGATAGGCCACTAATGGATTGGTTGCGAAAAATCCCTTCAAAGAGTCAAGTCCTTATTGAGATACACGATCACTATTAGAATCGTTGAGTAGGAACATAAAAACTTACACACATTACACCAAAACATATTAATCTCCTTTTTGGGCAGTCGAATAAAAAATTGGCAGACATTCAATAGGTACATTGAAATGATTAAAACCGTTATTGTATTTATATTTTGTAATCTATTGAAATTCTGGTTTAATTCACCCTAAAAACACTATATTGATCATGTTTCCCAGCCTTTCTTCATTCTATCTGCCTGACTTTTGTCGAAACGTGGGAGACGAGGGTTTTGATATGGTATCTTTGGAGTCAATCATGCCACGTGCATTTCACCGCAACAACATTCGTGGCTCGAGTCGCCAAGCTTTGTTGCCATTTTGGAATGTATGGGAGATAGGTCGACCCTGTGAGTAACTATAGACACTCTTAAAGTTCATACGTACCAAAGCCATTGTAAAAAAAAAAAAAAAACAATAAGGTCATATAGTGTGCATGCAAATAGAGAACTCATACACGGTCCAAGTTGGCAGCTCGGGCCCAGCGGGGGAGGATAGGTGTTGACGTTTTTAATTTAAATAAATCGATTAAAATAAAATATATATATATATATATATATATATATATATATATATATGTTGAAAGTGATTGGACGTCGATACGAGAGAGGTACTAGCTGTTAATTACAGCTAGCATACGTAGAGGCCACAATCTCTCGTTGGGTTACAGGATGCAATTGCCAGTTGTAATGCACTCACCACGTCGGTCGTTGCACTGGACTTTGGCGAATTTGTAGCAGTGAAATTTGCAGCAGCAAACTCATAGTTTTTATATTCGCAGCTACATGACATCGAATGAACGTGAAAGTTATTTTAACCTGTCACTGATCGTTTGCATTATTTGATTTACAGGTATGTCTTGGAGATGCGTGCAGTCTACATGCGTGCTGGAAACCGATTTTGGACTGTCCATCAACTGCGGGTTGAGAAAATCCGGAATGTTTCGGGTCAGAAATCTCGGAGGCCTCAAAGGATACGTGGGTCTAGGTAAGAAAACGAGTGCCTTATCCTAAATGAATCACCCTGTAAACGCATGAGATTCCCCGATGGTCTGTACTCTGTAGGTGTGCCTACAAGCCAATAGCTTCAAATCAAATCTCAAAGACATAAAAATAAAAACATATGTTTGAATAAAAAGAAAAAAAACCATTACACAAAAGAATACTAGTTTAAAAATCGTCAATTGAAATATTTTCCATACACATTTTAACAGTCGGAAGAGGATTTTTTTTTTTTTATTATACACTGTTAATGGTTTTATTGATTAAAATTCTAAAAAGCTTTACGCACAAAATTTTTTGTAGGCTTTATATAAATTTTCTTTTTGTAGTGTTTGATATAGTAAGTATTGTAAATTCAACGGAGATAATCTCAGTAAATAGACAGTACAGAGTTGTATTATTGAAATACATTAAGAGTCCTTTTGCCCGTGCACAGTGTATTACAATAAAACAAGTTGTTCGCTAATGGAACTTTATTCAAATACTCGTATAAAAGTGCTAGATGGGAAACGGGATTTTTTTTTAAATCCATTAGAAACTACAAATGCAATACAGTTAGTAATATTAAATTATTAGAAAGAATAAATTTAATTACTATCTCCAAATAGTGTTTTTAAATTAAAAATGCAATAATATAAAGCGGTACATACATCCGATAAAATAAACAATGCTAATTACATTTTTTTTGTTTATTATTTTACTCTTCTTTTTATTAGTATGTAAAACAGAACTACAGACGTATCCTTAAGCATAATATAATTGGCATTGCTGTAACTACAACGTTAGTTTGATATGTTTTACAACACCGTTTTGAAACCGTCATACAGTGCAATACCGTTACTTGTACCAGATGAGTGTACTAAACATATTGTAATTATTATATTTGATTTGAATAGGTCCTCGGAATACAACCGGAAATTATCGATTATAAATTATGTTTAGCTAATAAGCAATGCGATTTTTCAATTGCCAAATTGTACTCAATCAAATACGGTCTAGTGATTTGATAATTAAAATTATATTTAAAAAAATACCGCTCTTAAACACAACACTTCATGTTTTGTGGTCAATCACAAGCCTTATTTCTTAGTGGCTCTTATTACCTGCTAGTTTTCTCTTTACCCCTATAATTATTTGTTCTTATTCCTCCATCCATTTCTCATTTCGTGTCGACTTTTATAGAGTTGTCATAGCACTAATAATATACTCTATGATAACATATCTATCTATACAGGGCGATGCACAGTTGACTATAACCTAGTCGATATCTTAGGAAAATTAATACTTTTTTAGTTATAAATAGTTCCCTAAATTTGAGATAATTTTCGGAAATAATATTAACCCATCCCTTTGATGTTAAAAAATCATGACCTTTTTTAAATTAGGAGTAATTCCTTGCAACTGGTCGTTAGATAGCCGTTATTGTTCGGTGGTTTGATTTGTCGACTAATACCGAATTGTTTTTAAACATGTTTTAGGCATCCAATTGGCCGACGAGCTCGGTTTCAAAGACTCTCTATCAGCCGTGGAACAAAACAAACGGCGTTCCGTGAACGGTTTTCCTGCGCCCGGATCGTTCGAACCGCTAGCAGTGCCATCGGAAACCAGTCAGACGGTAAGGAGCCAATATATTGATGTTGATAACTTTAAGAGCTTGCCGTGAATTCACTACAGAGCTATAAAGTTGTACATCATAAAAACACATTTCCCCCTTAAATTGTCATATTTTTTACGCCGGCGAATGTTTTTTTTTCTTCTAGTAAATTGTTTAAATATTATTATTATTAAATAGAAACCGTCGTGTAGACGTGCGTTACCGTTTCGCGAGAAAGCCGTCAAAACCGGATTTTGCGTTTTAAATAGTCAAAGAAAATGCGCGGATTAATGTATTATAATGTGTACGATTATTAACCGGGTTTGTACAAACGAGGAGCTACGCCAGTAGGTTATAGAACAGCTATCGCAGTGAATAGATCAACTGGAAACAAATTTCTTAATTTCTAAGAGACCGAAAAGTCTTGATCTCCGGTCGATAACACGTACACAAAAATGGTATATTCCGAGCCACAAAGTGTATAATATCATATTATCTTTCTACAGGATACAAATTTAATTGGTATTGCCTGCCGGTAATTAAGCAATTAACGTCACACCGATTTTGGCAATTAGCGAACAGGTATTACTATAGGTAGGTAATGTTATTGGCTGTTATTAACTTTCACTCGAATAGCCCGGCGCCCGGCCGATTGTGTGTCATTGCATTGCCATTATTAATTGACACAGAAGGCGTTTGAATCGTTTTATACCTACTACTATGTTGTCTAATTGGATTGTTCGAAAGTCCCGGGTGATTTGTCTACTAATTAAGATATCGCCGTTACAATGGCCGTGGCTAAATTTCCACTACAAAACATAATAATATTATAAAATATATCCTCTGTTTGTTTTATTGGCGGATATCATCATCCGAACGCCGCGACGCATCATTGTAACTATATGATTATCTATGGCGTTAAACAATTGGTCTGTGGTAGCCGTTTAATGACATACACAGTGCACACACGTCGAGTGTTGCACAAGCACATTGAATGCATTAAAGTAAAAACCAAACAATATTATACTTTGGTCGTTGCGTTTGCACAGCTTCGTTTATACATATCTATTAGTATTACCTGTGTACGATAACCGCAGGATCACTTTACCTTTCCAACATGATTCACCGACCCTATTGCGTTACACAAAACCCACGGTGTGTAATTTTTATGAGTTGTACGATTTCTAGTTAACCTTATTATTCAGGTTAAACCGTCCAATATTGTAAAATTTCGCCCACCTCCGTGTTGTAGGTTACTAAAAACGGACAAGCGTGGTTGGTAAAATAACCGAGAAATCAAAATTGAGGTGATTTAAAGGTGTGATTAGCTGTTGTGGAGTCAATACTATAATTATTATTGTTTATCTTAATATTCCGATTTGTTCATTCCAAATAACCGAGGTCAAGCACCGGCAGTGATATGACGACCGAGGTCTAAGAAAGCTGAGAATATGAAACCGAACAAAACGGTGTAAAACATTTAAATAAGAAGTTTGGAAAAATACTTGATAAACAAAAAACAACTTTCAGAATGTTCTTGTCTTATAAAAAATAACTTAAAGGTTAAACGTGATGTGTAACTATTAGTTCTGTGTGATTTTAGGACTGTTTTTTGATCTTTGACAGTGAATTAAAAAAAAAAATAATTTCATCCAAACAAAGCTGCGCATATTCTTTATCATCGATTAAATAATAATCTCAGACAATTTTTTTTTTACATATTAAAAATAATGAGAACTTTATCTAGATTCTCCGTCCGCTTTTTTTTTTATTATTAACCCAACAGTTACAATTTTTTTTTAAATTCTGACATGTTTTAAAATTTTCAAGTGCTTGTATTTAAGGTAAAATTCAAGTTTCCTGAAAATCCGACGACCGAACCTAGTTAAAGTTCCTCAGGGTGTGAACCTGAGTGCCAGGGTTCACAACAACGGTTTGGAATAGGTTTTAAAAAGGTACAAGAAACCTCACTGTGAATTCAACTGTCTTTGATTTTTTCCCGAAATCGGCACGACCCCTAAACTAACTCCCAATCCAACAAATTACCATTGTATTTAATGCGTACACGTTTAAATTTCCAGGCGCCTAATCAAGTGATGCAAAACGCTGACCGATCGGCGTACGCCAAAATGAACGGCAAAAACAGACAAGCTATTCCGCCGTTCCGGCCGTTGGTGTCGGCTGCCAACAACATGGTGCGAAACGTCCGCCTTGCTCAGCAGCAACAGCAACTGCAGCAACAGCAACTGCTGCAACAGCAACTGCAGCAACAGCAACTGCAACTGCAGCAACAGCAACTGCAGCAACAGCAACCCCTGCTCAAGCCCCTTCCCGTACCCGCATTCGCCGCCCTGCCGGAGTCCATAGCCAAAGTCACAGTGGCACCGTCGACGGTTCCTCCGCCACCGCCACCGCCACTACCGCCACAGCAAAGACAACCCCAGTCGTTTTCAAAACTCATTCCACAAGTACAACAGCTGGCGCCGCTTTACAAACCGTTCACTATGCAAGGCGCGTCCAACAGAAGATATACTGTGAGTATGACTTGTGCATTGCGTTGAGACCCCGGTCGAACGATCACTGGAACCAACCTAACCTTCCGGATTTCAAAATCTGAATTTTGGATTTTACAATGCTAATTTCTGTTTTTTAATCTGGATATCAAAGCTTTAGGTTTACATATTTTATATTTAAACATGTATTTGTATTTTAAAAGACATTTCTAGTTAAGATTAGTTTTTGAATCGTATAAATACATATCCAATTTATTACAAAATCAAATTTAGTTAAATGATTGTGCTACAAAAAATGCATAAACAAATCCAAAAATCAGAGTTTCGAAATTCGGATTCCAAACCCGTACCATTATATTATTATTGCTTTGCACGATAATGAGGATCGTTTTTAGGATAAATATACACTTTAAACACAACGTACATAACTAAAAGAACAGCTGATAATCTACTATGATAAAAACTTTACTACGACTTGACTAGTATTAATAGTACGTTGATTGGTAAGCAAAGTGAAGCAAGTCCATTCGATCATTTTCTTCAAATTTCTTCGTGCAGTTTCTTCATAGCCCTTTTTGAATAGACAATTGTGACATTCGGGATTTATGTCTTTGCTCAAGACCGTTATTAGTCACGTTGTGTGTTGTGTTCATGCTACATTTGGTCCATTTCCGTATCATTGCGTTCCACCGGCAAAGGAGTGGTAGCCTCGCATTTCTTAGTGATGGCAACCTTTGTGCGGGGATGAATTTAATCGCTCGAGTAATTATTCTAGTGGCATATTTAGGTCGAGTATCTCTACTTTATTCGTATGGGTGCCAGTCACTAATAAATTCTATGACCTACGCTGCATTTGAAAACAATTAAAAAACCACCATTCGTTTCTGCATTCGACTCACTCGTTTCATACCGATAGCCAGTTTAGGCCTTTGTGCACCGCTAATAATAAATATTATTGCGATTTAATTGCTGTACCGAACAGCTGCTATTATTATTAATACCCGTGTAAAATGTGGTTAATTTCATCGGTGCAAAGCACAGGCTTAGACGGGAAAGCAGAAACCTCCTTTGGCCTCGATACACTCGATGAACATAATATTATGTTTTTACTTTTCATTGTAATTTTTACTATGATGTTTTCGTCCAATTAATATATTATTATCGTTATTGCATAGGTACACGGGCGTGGTCATTATAATTAAATGGCGAAATCCCCGGCGAAACATCTCGTGCTCACATTCCGGATTTGCATATCTATTATATACAACAAATCACTTAAGTGGATTAATGTGTTTTCTTAACATGTACGACATGTCGCACACTTATTCTGTTTAAGAACCGATTCCGGTTAGGTGTCCGGTGTCGATTAGGAGGTACCCTATTTTCTTTTTCATTACCCCGGAGTTTTCTCCCGGTTAACCATCACAATCGCAGGATATTATATACACAATACACATATATATAATATATTACGGTACACTATAAAGCACTATTGTCACTTTTGCCGCCATATATCTACTATTGGGTATTGCATCGTGTGAGCTCAAGAAACCATCAATAACACACTAAATTACTATTATTTTCAAACGAAAGTGGTCGTTAGTCGTATTATTATTATCAATCGGCCTATCCTCTCGGTACAAACATAATAAAAAAATAAAACCACTACTAATATGCCCAATGACGCGTACGTCGCCCCCCATGGTTTACACGAAACAGCTGATAGTCTCTCTCGAGTACAAATCATTTTGTTGACCTTATTACACTTTTCCATTGATAACCGTTTTCATTTACAACAGCTATCCCGAAAACCACATACACCGCGGTTGTTCTGGTGGTGAGCTGCTACGACGTGGGAAGAAACAATGTCTCGAGTTTTGTTCCTTAATGATAACCCATAACATTTGCCAATACCCGACGTTGATTTGATTTTCAAAATTAGATTATTAGTTAATGTACATATTTTTTATAATAGCGATAAACGTTTATTTGGCGAAAACGATAATAAAAAAATCAACGCTGTTAATTATAATAATTATTTTCAGTTTGATATTTCAATTATTTAATCGTACAAAAATAAATTACTTTTGACAAAAAAAAAAACAGGCCATTTTCGAAAATCCACAAATAACCTTTTAGCCGGTTTAAATATAACACAAAACACAACCTTACTTCTATTGTCTTTGTTTTCCATGCGTTTTTGTACCCGAATCCTCATCTGCCGGGTAAAATATACAACAATAACTCAAGTTTTATAATTATTTTTATAGCCGTTTCCATAATCCTTCATTTGTATACGGACTGAGGTGGAAAAAAAAAATTAATGAAAACAACACAAAACCATACCTTTTTGTTTTACTCGGATATTGCGCTGGGATAACTGATTACCGGGAAGTCTAATTAGTCAGTTTTCATAATTGGCCTTGACTTTATTTGCGCAAAACATACATTTTCGAAGAATTTTCAGTAAAAAATGATAAAACTATTTTTCGCGTTAATTAAATTTGTTGAAATACCGTATATTCGCTTTATAAACGTTGACATACTATTTTATAATATAAAATATTAATACAATAGCGAACGAAAGCGAGCAAATTTGTCGCAGCTGACTTGGTATTTGTTTAAAACAGAAATTTGTAATTTCATTTTAATATTAATTTTCGGTCAGTTATGTTTAGTTTTTGCGATAGCTTACACACGAACGGCGTGTAATCGTTTTTAACTCATTTGTTCAACAAAATGTTATTTAAAAAAAAATAAAGTTTTGTTCTGTTTGCCGATAAAACCATTTTTACAACAGTCCGACCTGAATCACATCTAGTATCCTGCGAAATCGTACGATGAGGAACCACTTCCTACTAGGTGTACATTGTTTTGTTTGTATGTGTGTACTTAACCGCCCGGTTTGTCTTCCTTCTTTACAGGCGTTCACCCGGAGTCCCGCCAACTCCATCGAGTCCCGGCCGATGCCCATTGTCGTGGTGCCCATGGGCGGGATGGCGGGCGCAATGCCTTACACGAAAGCCGAACTACCGGCGCCCCTGTCCAACGACGTGGACCCCGCGGCCATGGCCTCGCTGTTCAACGTCGCGGCCGCCAACAACGTGAGCGCGGACCAACTGGCGCTGGCGCTGCGGTACCAACAGCAGCGGGTGGCCTACGCCCAGGTGTTGCCGGCCAGCACGACCACGGTCAGCACGACCACGACCACCACGCCGATGCCGCTGACCACCGCCGCCGCCCCCGCCGCCGCCGCGGTCAGCTTCGACGAGTCGCCCGTGACCAAGAAAATCTCGATGAAGCCGTACAAGTCCAAGTACAGCACCGGCGGCCAGAAGGTGATGAACGCCCCCAAGGAATACTACCCCGTCAGCTACGACAAGAACTTTGACGACAACTTCACGTCCAAGGTGGACTTGCCCGACACGAGTTTCAGCTGCGGCGAACAGAAGCACTTCCCGGGCCTGTACAGCGACGAAGACCTCGGTTGCATGGTAGGTTGCATTGTAGATGATAGACAGATTAAAGTTGAAAAATTAAAACTTCCCATGTTTATGGATGGTAAAAAAAAAAAACGCGAGCAAGTACTCGGATCTGGAAATTTGAGGGATTGCATTTTTAAGTAGGACAAGTACTATCAATTAAAAGGGCAAGCAGTAGAATAAACAAAAAGAAAAAAAACAGTCTAATATATATATATTTATATAAAATACATTTTATGTTATTTAACTAAAACAGGACCAAAGGGAAACGTGGTACATTTTTCCATATAATAATCTCAATACAAAAATTGTCAAGTTGTCAGAAAATGTAAAAACCGTTAATACATTTAATTAGCCGATAATCTTTGTGACGTCCAAGACTAGTTCTAGCGTTAGAAATACCAATATTAACGTATTACTTCCCCTCTCCTTTGTGGGCGAGCACATTGTGAAGGGAGGCCTGTCGAACACGTAACCTCCTTGGGGGTCGTTGGTAAGCGCAAACCAACGGGAATTCGAAACACGGTGTTTTTGGAACCGTGTGTGTATATTTTATAATAATATAATAATTTTACAATGTACAAGGCACACGCGACGGTGTATGAAGTGTATCGCGTTTATGTTGTTTGTACTTTCGTTATCTACCCCAAAACACTCTCCGGGCCTTTACATTGGACTAATGCGTGCACCTCTGCCGTGTGAACATTGTTAGCTTTACGCTTTATTCTGCATTGCACAACAACTGAGACTAGGAAATACATTGTTTGGGTGGTGATAAAAAATAATAATAATAACCCTATTTGAATATTGACCCGGTTCGAAGTAAAAATGTGCCAACGCCGAAAACCTAATGGGCTGTGATGGCTTTGGGTGTTCAATAGATTCATAAATGGGTCGTTTCGCTAAAAGTGGTCACTTTCAAAGTTGAAATTTTACAATTTTTCAAGATAATTTTTTTCAATTATCCTCTTCTTTATCTCGCCAAAAGCCATAGAAACGTTTTGATTTTTATATTTTACCCCATAAACGGCCCCCTTAAGCCCAATTCCATCGAGCCGAGGCCCAAATTTAATGATACTGCAGATTTACTGCCAGATAACGCCTTATTCTAATGTACATTTAGGATAAACATCATTACTATTTATCACTTAAAAGGTCAAAATCGAAAAAGGTCGACATGTAAAAATGTTTGGTCTATTATTTATCCAATAAACCCTCAAGCTTAATTCTTATTGGGTGAGGCCCAAGGATGTGAGAATATTCCTCAAACCACCCCTGCCCTGGTGGTAAATTCAAAAATTGACAGGGGAGTCAGTCGAGGACAAGCCAGGGGTACCAGGAAATGACTGTTAATCCAATTTTTCACCCTTGTTTTGTAAATATAGTGAAAATAGTATGATATTGATTGACACATTTTGCCGGTCTGAATACACATTGAGCAGATCAATTTTGACACACCAAAAAAAAAAAAAAATGATAATGACTCACGATTTCCCACGGCAACAAGTGTACCAATCGTTTAGTAAACGTGTTGATTTAAATTATTCAACTCGAGTGAATATTATGCACCGAATGTATAGAATATTTATATATTACATATTTATATATACACTCTACATTCTCGTGACGTTATAGTTTATCAAATTATATGATCACGATATTATAATATGAATTTATTCGGAGAGTCGTGTCGTCTGTTAGGATAAACAAAATTGCATTGCATTTGTAATCGACTTTCCAACGGGGTTTGCTGCAAGGTCGTTTAGTGCAATCACGGCGTTAAGTAGGTAAAAATATTTTTTAAAAAAACCTATTAGAATAACTGCTTTTCTCGAGTCTAAAAAATCGTACACACGGATATTGTGTACAATTCGCGGTCGACGGTGTATGAATGAATTAAAATTAATTATGTTCCCGCGTATAGTAATATGTACAGTGGCATGCGGTATTTGTTTAACGGTAAACAGGTAAAACATATTAAACGTACACATCTCTGCTTCATGCGGTCGCGGGAAACCGTTTATATTTAATTTTGTTCACTTATTTCGCAACGGCGATTGTACATAAATAAGTCGTTTAAATTAAAACACGTGTATTATTTTGAAATAAAATTACAAAAACATAAACTGAATAAAATATAGTATTTGTATTAATCCACTGAACTCAATTTAATATGGAACGCGCATACATATGAATTATGGAAAATAATAATGCTGCGTTACTTTTGGACGACAAATAATAAAATGTTATCTCTAAAATTTAAATTGGCCACAAATATATACAAATAAACTAGATTGCTAAGCGTACATCCCGCCAATAGAGATAATTTAAAATACCATTTTCCGCCATCTTTGCGGGAATTAGAACCCTATCATATGAAAATATGTTTATAACAATTATATGAAATGCACATTGCTGTTCAGTGGATTTATCTTGGCTGGCAGCCGTAGTTGTCGGTGAAACGAAAAAGAAAACAACGGAAAGGGGCTTTTCCGAAGCTTAGATAGAAGTAAGAACACTGACGCGATGGGTGAAGGGGGGAGGGCTATCAAAACTGAATTACAATATAAAAAGAAATATTAGACCAGAGAAGAGATGCGATAAATTTGCATATGAACGGTTGAGATTGCCAGTAGAAGTGCTCCGTTTTGAATGACGGCGTTGTCTTTAACGAGAAAAAAACACAAAGAAGTAAAACCGATAAGGAGATATTTTTTTTTAAAAAATTTAATCTTCCAACCGAATGAATTGCCCAAGATTATCACCACGGAACGCGTTTATTATTTGGTAACTGTCACGGCTAGGCCTGAATCGATTATGACTGACCTTTGGAGTATTATATTTATCACGTTATTATGATTGCCTATACTTTCGCCATACAAGTCCACGACGTTATGATGAAACACGGTTTACGCGTAAAACCGGATCGTAAAGCAAACACCATCTCTCAAATATTACATTAAAACTCATCATGATTTTTATGCGACCCTTTCGGCTGTTTTGATAATTATCTAAATTATTAGGCAACGGTAAGCATATTATAATACCTTTTGGAGGGTTTTCGTGGCGATAATGTTCTGGCGGTAGACCGATAAACATGACAGCACTCATAGACAGTGTAGAGAGCATGCCGCTTTTACTAGAATCAATTCAAATGCATACCGCCATACCGAAACATTGTAATGCATTTCATTAAACTCCAGGGATGGCTAGTTATATTAAAAAAAAAAAAAACCTGTCTGTTTGTATTGTAAAGCTTTGTTTTAACATCAAAATCCAATTTCGAAGCATTTTAGCGCATGGATATGTTATTGGACTGGATACAAAGAACAATTCATATGAAACATACACTTTCACTTTAAGTTCAACCACGATTCAATGTTTTTACTCTGCTTGTGAAAAATGATTTTTTTATCGCTTTTAGTGCTTCGCGGATGAACGTGTTCGATGCGTTTTTATTGTCCCCCCCCCTTCCGGTTCTGGATCTAGGTCTGGATGGGTTTTCTTTAATTAGAAGTAGAACAGTACACAACTAAACATGATATTTTTGGATAGCTGACATTTATATGTTGCGAAGGCAGACTTTTAACCGGTTATTTTGGCAGCGGTGAATATTTATTAGCAAACGCATGTCGGAAGCTTAGATTTCGAAGACTACACATTTTAAGTAGTCCACTCGCTGCTGCCATCCTCGTCCAGTTCGCTGTTGCTCCCAAAACAAAGGCCCCGTTGTCTTCCACCCTCGTCGTTAAAGGGCCGTGTTTTAGGCCGTGAATCGGGTCAGTCTCGGCGAAATCTGTACAACATTATCGGCATAACGAAATAACAACGTTAAAAACAATTCTGGCAAACTGTACGGTGCCAGCGAGTTGCCTACACTAGGCGCCGTGTTTGCCAAATTATCATAAATCAACCGAGCCCGCTAAAAGCGGATTAATTAAACCCGTTTACGCCCGCTCTCGCGGGGCCGTGCGCTATTTTTCATCGTTTAAAACTTTTTTTTTCGCGTTTACCCTAAACCCCCTTTGCAACGGTCTGTCTCCGTCTCGGATCGCACTCGGACAAAGCGAACAGCAGATCCGAAGACGGGTTTGGAATGTTCCCAGACTCGACCGAGTCGGATTATACCAGTCTCCGTTTGTTAGCTTATTTACTGCAGTACACCCCAAAAGATCCATATCAAACATTTGCCAAGATACAATTTAATGTACGCTGATGTAATTTAATGTTATAATATAATAGGTGTCAAATACTCGTCCGTTGACCGTATTGACTCTGGCCACTGTTTATTATCTTTGTTTTTTCTCGAAATTAAACCCATTAGCGCATTTAGATGAAACAATCTCAGGGAAGGAGTTACTAAAGTCTATAGAGCCAAATTTGACGTTTCAATCTTAAATTTTTCTGCCATTTTTTTATATACTCAGTACCCAAAAAAAGGGTTGATTTTTTTAAAATTTCTTATAACATAATTACATTGAATAACAACTAGTTATTTTACAAAAATAGGGGAACAAGTACACTCTGGCCGCAGTAAGCTACTAGTGATTTGATCACTTTTTGTTGTAATATAGCCACGTGACCTCGCCGCCCCACTATGTGAAATTTGTATTTTATGTAAATATTTTTATTTTAAACGAATGAAAATTTAAACCGCAAATATGCGAGACATTCGGGCGTTTTATCATTTAAAGTTGTGTGACGTTTAATAATAGCCACATCAATATAATTTATTCATAGCGAAGCCTCGAGAACGCACATGGGTTTTTACCGCCAAAGTTACTGCGAGTTTACAGCTATTAACTGTTCAGGAACTTCACAAACCACAGTACTGTTTTGTACTTTCTTTTGTGGAATTCGCCGCTGCTGATACTTTATGTACGGCGTTGGCATTATTAAAATTGTTAACAACAAAACGGTACTCGACTCGGTTTCAGACGGATAATTTTCAATCTATTATTTTTTTCTTCAAATTAAATAGTTAAAAGCCGCCTAATTTACAATTAACGGTAAACCCTATCGATTGGGTTACATTCGGTCAGACGAAACACCTTTTATATCTCTTTTTTTCTCAACTTTACAGCATGGCAAAAAAAAAAATCACCTACAATTACCGTTCAATAACAACACAGCCGTGTTATCAATTATTCTATTATAGCGTTATCTATTGACTTGAATCCGATTTGCCGCTCAAATTGCAATAAAACAGTGTTGCTAAAATTGATTTGGCCATAAAACGAGATAAGCGATGTATGTTTTTTTTTTTTTAATAACATTTTAGGTTTTTCTCTTTTTTATTTTGTACCAAAATACCCGAACCGGTATTGCTCATTATTTTTCAGTTTGTTTCCTTATAATGTTATACGCCAACGACTGTCATGTTAATAGCAATTATTATAACGATGAGTTTTTATTCCTTAACAATCCGTTGTTATTATAAAGTCAAAATGATATTATTTCAACCGTTAGCTTAACAATATATATATTTTTTTGTTTTAACATAATATTTGAAAATTTAGTGCACGGTTTGATTTTCCCGGAATGCATTTAATTAATAATTTGGGTTCGGTTGATGTGGATAATGTACCGCAAAAAAAATAGCTATATTTTTTTTCACATTTATTTCTCTAATGACGTTATAAAAAAAAGCATAACAGGGCGATTGGTTGGGATATGACTAAATTTAATATATTTGAAAATAATACTACACTCCACTCTTCCTTCGCCCTAAATTTTAAACTTTAGTAACTTCATGAGTAATTATCCAAGCCTAGTTAACGACCGGTCGTCATTTTCAGCGAATTGTTTTTAATTAAAAAAGTTAAATTACGTTTCCGTTTAAAAAGCCTGAGTTCATAAAGTTTTAACGCAGAAGGGTTATGTCTTTGGAAAATCAAACAAAATTTGATTAACTATAAAAGTATATAAAAGCCCAATTTTAAAAAGTCTAATATCTTCTATGACATTGTCTGGGTCATAACAGGCCAATTACCAACGTGTACCTGTACTTATTATTTTATGGAAAAAGTTTTAACCGATCAAACTTTTTTTATATTATCTTTATTGTCGCCCAACTCGGGTAATTGCATTGTCTCGACAAATAGGACGTCTTGTCTTTGATAACAAAAAACCGCCTGGCTTTGTATAAAACTTATGCTACTCACACATCACTCTTAGTCCCCAAGTCCCAGGTTACCGCACGGTTCTATAAGTTAGTTTGACAATTGGATTGGTGGTTTTAACGACAGTGTTTTTGACTCTTTCCAGGTGTTCCACGTGTGCGCTTTCACCGACGAAGGGCTGACGCAGAAGAGCTTCCTGTGTCCGGAGTCCACGCTATTCGACCAGACCATTTTGAAATGCAACTGGTGGTTCTACGTGGACTGCAAGTCTTCAAGAAAGCTGTACGACAGCAACATACCGATATCGAAGAGCTATCAGCTGATGAAGGCGCTGACCTTCTTCTCTTCCTACAACACCGGACCTTTGACCGACGACAAGCACAACTCCACCAGCGAATCCACCAGCGGCGCCACTTCGGTGTCACCGCCGGCCCCACAAGTCAACATCACCGGCATCTTGGAAGACGTTTCGACCAGCCGGCGGTGATAGCACTGGGCGGTTTTCAAAAAAAAAAAAACGACTTAACCTACTTGTACTTAGACAGTTATAGACAGACAGACCGACTGCAGTTGTCATTGTACCGTAGTACAATAGACTTGTTAAGGTCTGTGCCCTCTTTCTCCAACCCACTATGACGTCATGTCGTTGCTCTCCCTCACTCTGTTTACAAAACGTACAAGGTTCGATTCGTTTAAGCATAAGTAACACTGGTTTGTGCTTAAAATAGTAATTGCAATTTTATAGTTTTGAAAAAAAAAAATGTTGTTTATGTTGATCGTAAATTATTATGAAATTACAAAAGTCATACTTAAATGGGCACGTATATATTTAATTGACTTTTTAAATTAACATTTATTGGCCTAGAACCAGTTTTGGATGATTACTCTTAGAGTTAAAACTTTAGGACTGGATGAAAGTGGAGTGTAGTGTTATTTTTATCAGTGCGAATTACACTACAGTAAACCCCGTCCTAAAATTTAAACTTGAGTAACGTAATTATCCAAAACCGGGTATCGACCAGTCAAAGTTACCCGTTGAGTTTCAAAAGTAATTGACAGAGCTCAGTAAAAAAAAAAAAAAAAATCAGATAAAAATTTGAATATCGTCTAATAATGTAAAATAGCATAAGCTAAAGTGTCTCTCCAAAAAGAAAAAGTACAAATTTGCAATTATTTTAAGAAAAAATTAGTATCTTATACTTAATGAATCACCCTGTATTTTTACAACCCGTCCAGTGACCTGGAGCGACAATTTTGTTTAAAAATAACCAGGGGTCAGTAAAATCATCCACGCAGCAGTGTTGCCAACCTAGTTTCCATTTAAATGTGGTTTTTTTGACATTTATTTCGAGTACGCAAAATACTAAGAATACGAACGCAGGCACTTTGTCGTTTAAGTCGACCATTTCGGCTATGAAATTTATAATATCAAAATTATCCTCGAGCTTTAGCGTATTGGCAACACTGGTATATTTGAACACTATGTTTTTGAACCCCTGCCTGGATTATACAAAACATAGGTACAAATGTAGAACGGATGAAATCGTCTATTTTTTTTTTCTTTAAACAATTTTTAATTCTTTTATTACACAACAATATGCTGCGAGTATACCGTGTACAATAATGTTGTCCATGGCCATGATCATATCATATTTATTGTCTTTTTCGTCGAAACTACTTATTATAATAATGTTTAAATAATATTATTATTATAGTAATTTTACTTATAACGCTTGGTTAGTTTTAGATATTCCAGCATAACATAATTGTTATTATTATTAATATTATTATGACTATATTTATATCGTGTAATAGATGTTATGTTGTTAGTGACTGTTAGTTTTGTATTATTGTGATAAACTAATTTTGAATAGATAATAAATGAATTTTGTACATAGTAAATAGTTTATAACAAACGATTGGGTTTCAATCGAACGACGTGTTGCTCACATTAATAATTATTATTATGTATTACCTTTTTGTTAAGGTAAACTACATAAAAGAGGTTATATTTTGAATTCGTTAAGAATTAAGATTTCCGACACACTATTGATAAGTATTTCAAACAACTTTGCTTGAAAAAAGAAAGAAATAGTAGTATTAATATTTCATACAACTTTTATTCTTCTTGTTTAATCGCGTTTTTGTAATAATAATAAAAATTGATTTCAAACGAATAACATTTGCAATTACTATAATTCGAATAATTAAAATTTTTTTTACTTTAAAATTTAAATTATTATTTTAAAAATTTATCAATGTATTTGATTTGTTTTGTATCATTTATAATTTATGTGACATATAATATTATAATTAATTATATTTGTATAAAAATTGTTTTGGTGTTCATTTAAACAAAAAAAAAACCATTGTTATCCAAAAGTAGTTTGTAAAACAAAGTATAATTTTTCGATTATGATACAATAAATAATGCTTAAATACTCATTAGGAGAGGGCCGTTGCACGGTGAGGCTCTACGGATTTATGCAAGATAAATTATCTCAAAGCTAAAAATAAAAGGACTTATTTTCTCCTTAAATGTAATTTTTGTTCTGAAAACACATTTGAATGGCGCGCATATTTTATAATTGTTACCGCTTTTCGCCAAATATTTTACAAATTTACACAATAATCTTACTTAACCGTTTTCAAAAGTTCTCGGCAAGTACGATAAGCAAAAAAATTGGGCTTATTGTTGTTTTTTTTTTTTAGGTAGTACGACCGACGTGGAAAGCCTAAAAGCTTTTTGCGAGCGTGCTGATTCGATTGTAAAACACTTCAAAACCATCTTGCAAACGGAATACAATATTACCGTTTATGCGCCGAAAAACTTAAAAGGAAAATACAAAATAAATAATAACAAAAAACAATAATAATCCAATCGAAAAAACAAGCTTAATGTTATTTTTCTCAAATTTACATCGGTGAATAAATTCATTGGAAAGAGAGGCAAAATAATGAAAGCTAACGGCAATATCGTTCTTGTTATAAATTTTTTCTAAGTACACTTGAAGATATCGTTATTACGGAAATATAGCGTTCCCTTGTTACATCTATTACAATGGACGGTCTATTATTCTTCTAATTAAATTCGATGAAAAATAATATCTTGCTTTTTCTCCCTCTCTATTTTTCTGAACGTACCTATTGTCCTTCGGAATACCATAGCGGCTTATTAGGTAGTAGCTTAAAGGTGATTACAATTGGAATTATCATTTCGTAATAACTATAAACCTTTTTGAACGCTTTTGTATATATTTTTATTCTAATCTTCCTCGATCTACCTTTAAAATCTAAATACATCCATCTTGATCATGGCCGACACATCTCAATATTTTTTCTCTCCATTTTCCTGCTAATAGCGCATCTCCTAAGCTTTATTTCACAAACCATCGTTACCCCGGGCAAAACTCAACAGGGTAGTTGACCCCCTTGACCGGGGTACCTATGTTGGGGTACACCTTTATTGTGATCCATATTGCCTACTGTCGACCGAATGGTATTTCTCCAAAAATCATCTTTCAGCCGACAATGCTGCCATATTGCTCCAATGACGCAAAGGCATTGGGAAAAGCCAGGGGGCCAGGAAACGGCTAATAATCAACTTATATATTTTTTTTTGTTAAAGCATATTAATATGATTTTGGTTGACACACATTGCTGGCTTGTATACACCCGAAATGGATAAATTTTGAGACATTCCAAAAATAGGTAATGGTAATCACTCATGATTTGTCATGGACGCGTCCTTAAGCTGTTTAATCTAGTCACTCTAAACATTCTCATTTTAGCAACTTCCCATTTTCCTTGCATATCTCTCTCTCTCTCTCTCCCTCTTTTGTTCAGTGCCTAACACTAAATCGCATACATCATTGCCGGCCTCGTTATCGTTTCGTAAAATGTTGCATTCATTTTAAATGGCAATTTTCTCTCAGACTTTCGACTCTTTCCGTGTGGTTCAGTCACTCACGTGAATATGCTTTATGGCCGGGGGTCAGTTGCTTCCTCATCACATATTATCTCTTATCACTCGTTCTACTATCAATTATCGTGCAAAATGTTCAGCTAAAACTAAGAGTGGGCGTGTGCCATAAAATACAATATTCGTGATGCACGTGTTTCTCCTCAAAGGGGAGGAAGTTTCTTCCGGTATTCTACTCTCGCACAACCAGCAAAATTTCATTTTAATGTATTAAGTGCAACACTGCGATTCGGTTCTTTTGCCGCTGGCAGACCGAATCCGATATTATCACTGTTTAAACCGTTCTTTCCGTTTGCGGTGGTCTTCGACAGGTCGTTTATATCCGCAAACTCTACCGGCGGCGTCTGGATAATAAATATTTCCTCTTGCCCGGTTAATCCGGATGCTTCGGCGACATGAACTTGGGATAAGGGAGTATTTTTGGCGTGTCAACGGCCAACATGATTTATATAAAAAGCGCGGCGTGCCGTACGATTTTCTTGGCACTATTTTTCTCACATCCATCATCTCAATAGCGTACAAAGCACTACTCGCGAACGCGGTTTTCCGTCCTTGTGTGAACACCCGCGTGAGTCTTAAGTGCGCCTGCGGGCATGCAAATTAATAAAGAACAAGCGCTTAGCTTTTACCGAGTCATCGCACGTTGGCGCGATAAATTACAATTAAGGCGGGCAAAATTAAAATAAAATTCAAAAATTTGATGCCGATTTCAAATTAACTTGCTTAACCTTATTATACCTTGTAATTGGCTACAATATTACAATTTTAGACTCTGTTCTGTTTGGGCTGAAACTATATGTTTAATTATATTTTTATAATATAAATTCATTAAACAGTGTTTTGTAAAAAAAAAAAAAATAACATTTAGTCCGCTTGAATTGTAATTGTTTTTCATTTTTTAGCTTGGATGCGGAGCTGAGAGAATATTCACTCTTTCTCCTTCAAAGTAAAGAAAAACGCCCGAAAATTGGGTACTTTGGTAGTATGGTAAATTTCTAGGTTGCTTTGTGAGAGTAGGTACCTGAATAATAGTTTTCTTATGTAGTTAACTGCAATATGTGAGTTAAGCCAATGCTAAAAATATAGTTTAACACACATTATTATCATTTACAATGCTTTTATCGATTTTTGTACTTCTACAACAATCTACAGATTCCTATCTAAGTGTTTATTTTAAAGTGATTTTATCACTTTCAGTTGTGATAATTCATAGTATAGACCTGTGCCCTCCCCTGCTGTATACTGTACTGACTTTTTTTTTTACCACAAACACAATAAAAAGAAACCGTCCTTTTTCCAAAGACCTTTACACCTTTATACCTTTTTATATCGGTTGAAACAACAAATCCCGTACCGTGTCGGATAGTCCAAACGACTTCTGGTATTGCGTTATTTCTTTACTTGGAATTTTTTTTTTTTTTTTTTTTTAATGGCATTATCGCGAATTAAACAGCCATACTATTATTCTATCTGTGTAGAACTATCAAAGTTTTGTAAGCTACTTGAATTTAACGGGTTTTGTTTGTTTATTTGTTTTTTTTTATTTGTGATAATATATATTCGTGCTATATATTTCAATGTTTTTATCTTTTTTTTACGGTTCGCTAAACGTGTGTGCACCTTTGCAAATTCGGTCGTAAAATAGGAATCGTAAATAGCTGTTTACCTTTTCGTTTAATATAGAATAAGCCGTTAAACTAGGATATTGTAAACTAGCCATAGGTCTAGTGATCAAGTGTGGCGTTCCCTCTTGGTTTGACTGGAACGTCAGACGATACTACCTATTTTGGTCGGTGCAATTGTTGACTAAGCAGTTGATGATACTCTTAAAGACTCGAAAGATTGTTTTTTTTTCTTAATAATTTGTCCAATTTTGATGTATTAAGTTGTCAAAGTTTAAACTTTAGGACATGAGGAGGAATATAGTTGAGTAACGCATGCAGATAATTACCCTCCGCCATCCTTCCCGTCCTAAGTTTTGAGCTTAAATGACTTTCAGAGTGATTATCCAAAACCGGTTGTCGACCGGTCGAAACATTCAGAAAATATTTTTTATTTAATAAATTTTTTTCCATAAAGTTTTAACAAGTAAGAAATAGGGTTGTATTTTTGA